AAAAATCAGAACTCAGGAACATTACTCTTCATCAGACCGCACACCAGCTTCTCAAATAACAATCTACTCACACAGTTATGTATAGCTGGAACAACAGACATAACATTTTTCAACTCCTAAGACCTACGGATGTAATGTCCCCAGTATTTTTGCACCTGCAGATGAATCCAAATTCACCCAGTCCAAACACCCCATCCCACCAACAACCCGCTGCTTCGCCTGGGAAAAAACTCCAATGATGAAACGTAACAGTCAAAAATTAGGAGGGGCAAAATACAAACAACTCAAACACTGGGTTTGTCAGGCTGTGTCCTCAAACAGGGCAAAATTCCAATGTTATGAACACGCAAGGTCTGCCATTTTCTAGGAAATTTGGGTGGTTTACAATTATAAAACAGTATTATCTCTGAGTTAAGTTTCTTCACTCCCCTGGACAGGAAAGCATGGGTAATACTGATGGGTTGGCTAGTGTGTTTCCAAACAGCCAGGGTATGGGGAATCAAAGGTCTTCCAGAAAACCACAACCATGCTCTTTACAACCAGATATAAAGAATCCAGATCCTTTATCCTCATTCCATCAAAGGCCAGTCCATTTTCCCCCCACCTCACCTCTGCCCCAGGGAAACCCCTGGGAATGGGCTAGAGCTAAGGGCAGGGGTCCCCACTGTGATCCAAACCCAAGACCTGCCTTAAGTATTCCTTACAAAGTACTTCTCCAAAGCCAAGCTAAACCAGGAAGGACACTACTAAGGGAAAGTGCTTCAAAGCCAACACATTGCATGTGAGCCAAAGTGCCAGGGATCACCTAGAGATGACCCCCCTACACGTGTCGATTCACACCAAGACAACATGGACTAGCTCACATCATCCAAAAGCCTATTCTGGAGAAGCAGACAAGCTAGTGTTATTATGGCTTTTAAGTAGCCCACACCGAGGATCCACAGCCCCGAGGAGCCAGTGACTACTGAAAGCCTCAGCATGCCACCTCCTCTGCCGCTTTGCAAGACGCAGTCCCAGATTTTGCTCCCCTTACCTTGTGGGTCTGCTTTTTTGTAGGCGTTCCCGGCATCCACGAAGCTGGTGGCTGAGTCGTGTTTGCTCTGCAGCTGCATGTGCAGCTTGGCCGCCTGACAAAACGCGTTTCCTGCGGCTGGGAGAGAAGCGCACACCGACCCCATGTACCCCTCCAACCCAGGAACGAGCAGGGTCACCACAAAGTGGCAAAGTACGCGTCGCTTCCCAGGCCCCAGACGTCAAGAGATGCAACACCCCTAAACTGTCTGCGTCCAGATGCTGCTCGTTTGGCCGGGGATCGAGCCTGGCCCCACAGGGAGCAGCAGGGACATCCCCCACACACGCTCACTCTTGGCCATGTGGGTTCATCCTCACTGCTGACTGCACCCTGCAGCTACCGGATCAGCAAGAGGGATCCCTTGGACCTCAAAATCCATTGAGTTTGACACCCCACCCCAAAGGTATTTCCTTGCTGAAGAGCAAACCCAGGGCAGTGCTCCTTCAGCAAGCTCTTCCACAGAATTACAAGCTTTCAGTCTAAAATGGTAAACGGCACCCCAGCTCATTTAGCACCAGGAACATTCAGGTCACCCCCCTTTTCCCACCCTCTCAATATTGAAAACATCGCAGGGCCGGGCAAAGCAGAGAAAACTGCATCGCCATAGGGACCATCCCCATGGAAACAGCCTGGGATGTAAAACTCCACTGCAATAACTTGCAGGAAGACGCTTGGGTACCCGTGGGTCACATCAGCAAACCTCTACGCAGCCCCCCACTCCCCGACTGGGGCCTGTACTCACCGCTCCAGTTTTTGGCGATCTTGAACATGTTGGCAGCCCTGGTGTACATTTCACAGGCTTCCTCCACTCTGGTGTTGCCCCTGAAATGCAGCGAGAGAGCCCCTGATGTGACACTGGAACGGATCGGGGGCTGAGAGCTGAAATAAGGCTTGGCGTGTTGTAATCCCATGTGCTCAGGCAACGTGGTCCCTCCGGACCTGATATCTCTAATTTTGAAACATGGGGTGAGAATCATGCTGCTCAGAGAGGGGAAAGCTGGATTTGGGGGACTGGCAGCCCCACACAGTGAAGGTGGGGAGAAATTCAGTTAGTGCCTCACAGGGTCCCCTAAGTCCTGCTGTGAACAGGGAGCTGGCAGGCACCCAGTAAGCAATCCCTTGCTAGAAGGGGGAGGCAGAGTTTTCCACTGCATAAAGCAAGGACAAGAAAGCAGACAAAACCCACTCCTGAAATGGCAGCTCAGAGTTTTTGCACCTTCTTTAAGAGTCTGGAGCAAGCCCCCACCTGCTCCTTGAGTTCAGTCCCTCCTTTCTGGGCAGGAGCAGCTGGGCTCGTAAGAGTCTCACGAGACACTCAGCAAAAACACCTGCAAAAAGCAAACTCTAGGACATGACAAACTACTGTATAATTTAGAAAACATAAAGCAAATCAAAATTTAAGAGACGCTAGACAGCTCAACGCAAGCCTAACTGATGAGGTTTAGGTAGCATAACTGGGCTCCCTGTACCAGATGATTAATTTATCTTAAGTAATTTTGTTCATGAAATGCAGATTTTTTCATGGATTTACTCCCACAAGCTCCGTACTGCCCTCTGCAGCACACAGTTGTGTTGACCCCGGAAAGGGCTGCAGCGCTGGAGGTGACATTTATTACTGCCATTTTTTTTTCCCTTCCTTCTTCTGGCAGACAACCACTTTCAATTTCTAAGCACAGGCGAGTTTTTTGGACCACTCCTCACCCTTGAAAGCCACCTTTTGCATGCACTAAAGCCAAAGGAGGTGGAGCGAGGTAATGCTATACCCTCCAAGGCATCCAAAACCAAGTGGTTTTCAGCTTTTTAGTCTTAAAAAAATAAAAAAGAAAAGCACTTGTGCAAGCAAATGGAGCTCTTCAGGAAAAAGCCCAGCTGTCGATAATACTTTTGGCCAGGCACTCAGCGGCCTGGGCACACTGTTTCACCAGGGGGATGCCAAGAGCAAAGTCACTCACCACCTTTTCTTCCATTTTAAAAGTGATTTTTTTTTCATCTATTTTTAGCCCGAGAAAATGAGAAATTTGCTTCTCAAAATTCCTGCCGGTTTACTCAAAGGATTTTTGGCAATTTGCTGACCAGATTATGCCCCTGGAGCATGCCCTGCCCGATTAATCTGCTGGAGGCCAAGGAGGAATTTATTTTTAAAACTTCTGCTTTTAGGGCTGCTATATTTTTCCAGCTACTGATGCTCCACGGGAGCATCACACTGTAAATGCTCTTTTCCTAAAATAATTTTTTTTTAAAAAAAGCCAAGATTGAGCCAAACCAGCCAGTTTTTCAAAACACTTCCAGCCACAGATCTTGCACCCCCAGAACTACCTACTTTTGAACAAAAAGACCCAGTGAAAAGGAAGCTCTAACATTTTCCGGGGGTATCACTCCCCCCTAGCAACCCCATCCCTCCAGAGAATCTGTGCCCCACGACAAGGGCTCAGTGCTGCGGCTCCCTTGGCCAGAAAATCATCCGTAAAACCCCCGAGGCTGGTCCAAATGCTTCCCCAGAGCTGCAAAAAGCCTCAAGGCGGCTTTAAGCCTCACCCTGACACTGTTCGCAGCAGCCCCGAGCAGAGTCCTTGGGTGTTGCTGCCCAGCAAGGGAGAGGATGCTCCCCGGGATAAGGGGAGAGGCCTGGGTGAACCCCGACAACGCCACGGCTGCAAGAGGATTATCAGCGGCGAGTCCCCACCGGGATAAAGCTGGGATGAGCGCAGCCGCCGTGGAGCCAGACCTGGGGACACCCCCCTCACGGCGGGTTGACCGGGGGTAGGGG